CGGGTGTGCCTCACACGTCCTGAAAAGTGAAGCTGCAGGCTCTTTGATCGCCCCCTGGTGGCCGGTTGCAGTACAGGTCATAAACCCCGCCCTCTCCATGTAAACGAATGGGACTTGAGTCAAAATAAAAAAATTAATTACACTTCCAATACAATTTTCCGAAAGATGGTTTTGGTCATTTAAGGTAGTTGTTATCACGCTGATATATGTTCTATTGTTCGTTTTTGTGATAAGTGATTTTAGCTAGTAATTTGATGCTATAAAAACGGGGCGTGTCGTTATGGTTGATTGGGTCTGTGGGAGTTTGATACTGCGGCTCCACCTCACGACACTACTGCGCAGACTCTGGCTCCAAACAAATCTCTACTGCGCAGACTCTGGCTCCAAACAAATCTCTACTGCGCAGACTCTGGCTCCAAACAAATCTCTACTGCGCAGACTCTGGCTCCAAATTATGTCATTTACTCAAGATGGCAGCGGCTGTACTGAGATGCTTTGGCTTCACTTTTATATAGTGGAAGGAATAGGAGATGCATCGTCCATCTTTTTTTACAGTCTATGGTGGCAGTCAGTCACTGCACCGATGTGGATATTTACTGTACTTCGCAATCACAGATTCTAGCCTACGTCTTGGAATATAACCCAAATAAGAATTTTAACCGTATACTGCCATATGAACAAGTAAGTAACAAGTCTGCCACGTTTGTTCTGACCAACTGAGGAAAAAAGCATTACCATAAATCTCGCTACCAATGGTGATTAAATCTAAAGATCGGTTACCTCATATCACATCAAACCGTTCAAATTATTATTATTGTTATACTTTATTCTCAAATGATTAATGTTAACAACATCAGCATTGGTGACTATGAGTATAGTGTGTATTAGCGTGTAGATTTCAATTTCTGCACAGTCTAATCTAATTGTCATACTCTTCCAATTTCATTTTAAGAAATTCTTTTAACCCAAAAAGCAAATTATGCTCCTTTCGAACTGGTTTTCTTTAAAATACAAATCTTTGTAATCACAGGCTATCTGTAATCAGAAGCACATTTATAACTGGAATATAAATTTAATTTCATTCACATGTGTCCCGTGAAAACCTACCCGTACCACTCAAATTAGAAAACATTATTATAAGCTAACCGTTGTGAATCGGGCTAAAGTAAGGCGATAGATTTGAACACTGGCTGGTTATGTACTTGCTCAAATATTGATTTCGGATCATTTTTAACCAAATAAAGTTACGGACTGCAACTTTAACTATAGATCTCAAAAATATTCAAAAATGATTTTAACGCCTCATATTATAGGATAACCTTTTTTTATTACTTCAAACCGTTTAAACTTATGTAGTGGTGTAAAAAAAAAATAAAAAAAAAAAGTCTTTGCCCCCATCTAAATTTTTCATGTTGTCAGATTGTGAGTTGTGGCAGTATTTAGACACTTGGTGGTAAAAGGTATTGGTGGGAGTTTTCATTGTCTTTGGTGTTCAAGGTTTCAATTACATAATCTTTGAGTGTAAAAAGACTCCAAATGTCACTGAGGTGAAGCAGTTCTGCTAAGACAAGTGGGAACTTCCTCCACAGATGCAAGAAACACTCATGTGTAACTACAGGAAGTGTTTATAGATGCTGAGGGGGAAATCACTTTTTCACACTTCTTGATAAGAAGAAGGTCCTTTGTGGAACCTTTGCTGTTTTAAAATAGCTTGTATGCTTTAATTTAGATCACAGACACAATGACGTAAACTGAAGCATATTACTTATTTTCTGAATCCTTGCAGAACTGCCTCAGCTCTTGATATTTGTAGGCGTTTTAACACCTGAAGATTGCATGATTGAAACCTTGAAAGCCAAAAAAAAACAAAAAAACAAGTGTAGTGTCCACCAGACTTTAAATACTACCACACCAAAGTATAATCTGACGAAAATAAAAAATAAAATATGTGCATAAACTCAGAAATTAAGATTCTTTACAATGCTGTATTGGTTTCTGGGTTCTTTAGGCTCTTTATAAAGTCTACGGTATCATATTTGATGCACCAGTTTTTTAATGCCTCTAAATCAGGGATGGGCAACTTTGATATGCACGTCCTACTATGCTGAAATTAATAGGGGAGCGGCTGGAAATAGCGACCTCTCCTGGTTGGAGATAGTATTAACATCATAAACTGAAAGCAATCTTTACGTGACTTGCTTTTCAAATGTTTTAAAATTGATCATCCGAGTCTAATATGATCCAGCAGGCCTTACTAAAAGACACCGCGGGCCGCCAGTTGCCCATCCCGGCTCTAAATGATCAACAATCAAAATTTTGCTGCACACAATTTACTACATGCCTTCTGTCATCGATTGATATTTCACACTTTTTTAGCAAGTAAAAGGCCTTTTAGTATAGTTGTAAAAATATCCAGCTTCAGCTAATGGTTCATGTGTCTTTTTGTTGGGAAATTTTTATACATTTTATAAAGTAAACTTGAACTTAAACTTAAATCATGTTAAAATGTGAGTACGCTCTAAAAAATGCTGGGTTAAATACAACCCAGTGCTGGGCAGCCCAATTGCTGGGTTTGTCCCTATTTTACCCAGCACTGGGTTGTATTTAACCCAGCATTTTTTAGAGTGTATCAGTTATGACCATCAGGCTTTTGATTAACGTTTATTTGTTAATCTATCATCATTGTATAGCACTGCATTGTTTTGCCCCCACAATAAAAAATACAGAGCTTTAATCATAAAACTAGGCATTTGAATATCATCTTACTAAGGAATATTATTGGGAGATATAGAGGGACAACTGATATTTATAGGCATTTTATGTAAGTAGCTATTAGGATTTCATCTTACTTTTTGGCATATAAATATCAGCAACTGAACCAAATAGCATATTTTTGCTCAGTTTGGGCCCCTGAATAAAACTGAGGTGTGTTATATTCCTCCACGAGTTTGAGCTCCGTTTTCTCACTATATCATACTATATGAGCCATAAAAGCCTGGTGTATCAAATATGATACTCTACAAAAAACGCATGTATTTTTAAAATATATTTTGTCTGAAAGTTCAATATACGGTTCCATTTAAAATACATGTATATAGTTTTCTTACTATTTTTCATATGTCAGGCATTACAGGGTTAAAGAACTAGTGAAGAACTTTTATTAGGTGTGCAAGATGGATCACAAACTCATTTCGGCATTGTGGCCAGCAGAGTACGATCGGGCTGCCATCCATCAGCTGGCATACGAGGCAGTGCAAATGAACACACTCTTTCAGAAGGACGTGCTTTTAGCGCTGCTGCACTAACCATCCACTCCGTCCGGTGACCTTCTGAATGGACAGACATATGAGCTGTGTTCAGAATAGCACACTGCCATAATGCTATTTCTGCAGCACACTGTGCATAGGATGTAAATTCTCTGTATGCAAAAAAACAAAAAAAACAAAATCCCTGGAAACCTACTGCAATTGCCAAATGTGCTATGTAGGATCATAGCACACTATTCAGAATGCAAGGCAGTGCACTTAACTGTGAAAAAATGTGGGTTGTTGCATGTGTTTTCTGCTTCATGTTATTTTTCCACACACAAAAAAAATATATGCAGTAAAGTAGTATACTGTAGTTTGACTATGATCATGAGTTATTTGCTTTCAGCTTCTTTCCTTACTTCAAATTAACTAGATGACACCTGAGAGAGCTGGATTCATATTTTCATATTAACTAATTACAGATGCCATCATCAGTGAAAAGCACAGCCAGTTAAAGCCCTACAATGAGCTTTGAGACTGAGTTTAGTGTTTGAATGGAACCATGAGGACAGTAGGACTGGAAGAGCCGTTATTGCATGACGACGTCAGCTGTTGTGCTGCTGCGTGATTCTCTAAACAGATACTGAACTTATGAGATGTGCATCATGAGACACTGTGGAAGGGAAATTACTGTTTGTGTCTTTTAACGAAGATAAAATGGAATGAATATGAGTTTAACTCTCATCGTCTATTGCATATTCACATTAATGAAGGCTGAGGTGTGTAAACTGGCTATAAAAACTCGATATACATGTACAGTACTGCGTGGAGCTCGTATTCCTTTGAAGGAATAGTTTCATCTGTTCATGGGAACAGATTTGGAGGTATTTAACATTTAATCACTTGCTCACCAATGGATGCTCTGCAGTGAATGGGTGCCATCAGAATGAGAGTCCAAACAGCTGATAAAAACATCACAATAATCCACAAGTAATCCACACACCACTCCAGTCCATCGATTAAACTCTTGTGAAGAGAAAAGCTGCATGTAAGAAACAAATTCATGATTAAGGCATTTTTAACATTAATACTATTTCTGTAATATTACGCTTCCTCCAGTGAAAAAGTCCATCTCCTGTTGTCCTCACACATCAAAATCCACACACATATTTGTTTAGAACCGATTTGGATTGTTTTGGCTTGTAAAAGGTGCTTGATCTGTGCATATTTCTCTTCTGATTCAGACGAGATGACTTCAATATTATCGATAGAGGACTCATATTTTAGCCGGAAACAACGGTTGGAATTCAAAAACATCTTAATGATGGATTTGTTTTTTACAAACATGCATCTTATCACTTCTCAAGATGTTAATTGATGGACTGGACTGGTGTGGATTACTTGTGGATTATTGTGATGTTTTTATCAGCTGTTTGGACTCTCATTCTGACGGCACCCATTCACTGCAGAACATCCATTGGTGAGCAAGTGATGGAATGTGAAAGTGAATGTGATACATTTCTCCAAATCTGTTCTGATGAAGAAACAAACTCATCTACATCTTGGATGGCCTGAGGGGGAGTACATTTTCAGCAAATTTTCATTTTTGAGTCAACTATTCCTTTAAGAACTGTAGCTTTATAGTAAGTAGTTTTAATGGAAATCACATTAGTCACCTGTTAGTCACTACACCAAAGAAACGGCTTGATTGTTTGCTCTGGGCGAGCTGCTCGAGGAGTCAGTTCTGTGGAGACAACTTCAATACATGACCAAAGATTATGATATAACATTTCCACAAAGGCATTCAGTAAATGAAGTGATTCTCATACCAAAGGCTGTAGTGGTGATCTTTGACCTGGTTGGTAGTCCATCAAGCCAGTATACTGAGCGCCTATAAATATAAAAACAAACAAACAATAAAAAGTAATTATTGCATCAATGCACAAAGACAAATGGGTGGTTTGGACACATATAACTGCTGTATTTCATCATAAATATACAAAAGTATTGTTTGGGTCAGTGTTACTGCCCGGAAATGTGGCAGACACGAGCATGGATGACTCACTAAAGGATGCCCAAGTTATCTGCTGTTTGAATGAGTCAAAGAGCCCCCTTGTGGGCAGATATGCCAGTTCATTTAAAAAAACTAGGTCAAACACTAACAGAGGTTTTGACCAGGTGTGAGAGAATGGCAGTCTTTATTCTCCTGGGAAACAGCAGTTCAGTTTTCATATTTCACATGGAATATTTCGATTTCGCAAAAGCACAAAACACACACACAACATGCAAAACATCATACATATCTTGCACTTCTTTCAAAACTGTTTTGGTATTTTTGTGTAGTAACACTAGTACACACAGACATAAAATAATTAGCCACATACACACCAAACTACACACAGATGTGAAAAATGTAAAACTACTCTTGTGTGTCTTTTGCTTCAGAGTGCAGTGGAGTGCACAGGAGTTGTCATAGCACTCGCACATACATGCATATGCACATATACACTGTATATACAGTATGTATGTACAATTGATGAATTTTACACAGTTATGCAACTGAACTAAATCAATACTGAACTGACTTGAGCTGTGTAATGACGCTATTGACTTGTTAGAGCTGCTTTATATTTTGAGGGGACAGCAAATTTACACTGTTATACAAGCTGTACACTCACTACTTTACATTGTAGCAAAGTGTCATTTCTTCAGTGTTGTCACATGAAAAGATATAATAAAATATTTACAAAAATGTGAGGGGTGTACTCACTTCTGTGAGATACTGTATATATGATACACCCCTTTGCGTTGATAATGTACCGCAGTGACCCACCTGTCAGGGAACTTGAGCAGGTTTGTTTTGGGCTGCGCGAGCTGCTCTGTCCGTGTAGGCATCACTGCTCACTAAACACAACAGTTTCCAGGAGCCTAGTGTGTTTAGAACACAAACTTGTGCTTTAACGAGTATAAATAGATGAAAACATTCTGAATGTATCTGCATAAACAAGTAATTAAAGAAGACATTATATAAGAGTGAATGTTGCAAATAGCCTATGAATCCCACGCACTCATTAATTATTTACTAAAGAACTATAAAACAGCGACAGTTCAGACAACGAAAAAGCAAGTTTTTTTTTTTTTCATTTTTAAATCACTTTTATACCGTTTTTGTTTTGTTAGTTGAAGGTTGTTTTAGATAAACAGAAGCTTCCTCAACTCACTCACCGATCCAAGCGTCAGGTGCGCTGCGGCGCGTTACGTGTCACCATAGCAACAGTTCACGTGAGTGCGCTCTAATTAACCAGATCGTCATCTAAAGCGTGTCAAACAGTCTTCCTGTTTGTAAACATGCCCTGCACTACATATGCAGACTTTTAAAGTCATTTTCATTAAGAGTCGAATAAATGTGCTTTAAAGGAGCATGATGCATAGACATAAAACTTAAAAGTTAACAAAAATAAAAAATATATAAACCTTGTCCCGGAAACACAAGTCAGCTATTTAATTACAATCGATCTTAATTATAATATAAATGTATTATATATTTAAATAAATTCAATTCATTGCATGAAATAAACACTTTGAGGTGTAGCTAATTCTGCTCATGTGGAGAAAAGCACCAAATAAATAACATGTGAAACACTGTGTCAGACCCCGGAGGGCCCCAGCCTGTGAAAGACTCCAACAGGCAGCAGCAGCAGATGGGAGCCGGAGCTGTAGGCTTGCATAATGACCACCAAAGTCAAATGTCAGACTGATAACTGAGCACAAGAGAGGGTTAACCATGAGGACAATGCTGGAGATTAGAAAAAAAAAACAAATTCATCAGCGAATAACCCCATCAGCAGCTGTTGTGCTGCTTTCATTCAGATCCCATTATCTCACTGGGGTGTTTGTTATATATAGATGTATCATGCTCGCTTCTGATCGGCCAAATGCAGTGTATAATGTTTGTACAATGTCCTCTAAACTGGTAACCAATCTCCTACACTGCTCTCTTTTCACATAGTAAAATAATTCCAATTTCTATCAGTACTTCATGTCTATTTATCATCGCTTGTGCTTTAATGTGTAAACAGATAAAACATTCTAAATGTATATGTATAAACAAGTAATTAACGCAAACATTATATAAGAGTGATTGATATGCAAATATGAATTCCATGCACTTATTAATCATTTACTACTGTTTTACTATAAAACAGCTGTTACGGGGCGAATGACGGCCTCTATAGCCGTGACAGGACGGGCAGCGGGTTCACAGACGGCCTCCATAGCCGTGACAGGACAGACAAAGAGTTCACCGACTGCCTCCATAGCCGTGACAGGGCAGAACGAGAATTCACCGACGGCCTCCATAGCCATGACAGGACGGGCAGAGAGTTCACAGACGAGTTAATTGACGGCCTCCTTGGCCGGAACAGAACAGACAGAGAGTTCATAGACGGCCTCCTTGGCCGCAACAGGACAAACAGGAAGTTCACCGGTGGGTACTACTGACACCTCTGGAGGTTCTGCAGCGGATGCCGCCACCTCTGGAGGTTCTACAGTAGTGCCCTCAGGATACAGGGAGAGTTCGGCAAAGGTTCCTTCGACCTTGACATGACAGGTTGAAAGTGCGTTTCTGGGCGCCACCACGCAAGGAGCTGAAGCGAGCACTGCCGCTTCGGGAGGTTCTGCAGCATGCGCCGCCACCTCTGGAGAAACTGCAGCGGGCACCATCGCTTCGGGGAACACAGCAGCGAGCACCACTACCTCAGGAGATTCTGTAGCTTCAGCCGCCACCTCTGGAGACCTAATAGTGGGCGCCGCCGCCTCTGGGAGTTCTGTGGTGGTGTATGCAGCCCAAACACACCAAAAAGCGATCCCCATCAGGGGAAACACTTCAGACAGGGGAATTAGTTCAGGAACAGAAGGGTTAGAGTGAGTGTTATTTAGTGAATGTGTGATCGGTTACAGCTGTGTGCAATCAGTGCTGTGTGCAATCAGTGCAATGGATGATGGGATATGTAGTCCGGGATGACATGCAACAGTTTGTGTAGTGCGAGAGTCAATGTAATGGAAAGGTGACCTCTGGTGGTGAGTGAATTGAAGTTC